AGAGGGTCACTGCGTTTTTGTGTATTTTTGCTAAAAGGGATTTTTCCAGATCCACTGGGTTGGGGATCACAAATACTTTGGAGGCCAAAAACTTGATATTGAATTTGGGGGAACTGGGTATGGTGCGGCTTGCTGTTCTCTTGGTGCGCTGCTTCACCTTGCAGATGCAATGTATCCTTTGCCAGCTAGTAAGAGGGCCAAGAACGCATGTACCTTCTTTCCACTGACTCTGCACTCCATCTAGGTCTAAGCAGGCAGCATTAAAAAGGGATATGCTCACCAATCTGTTGTTTCTGGACCTTACAATAGATTGTGATTGCAAGATAATGGAGATGTTCCATTTATCTGTCCCGCTGCCTGGGGCTGTGGCCCTCAGCAGTGACTGTGGGAGACAGATAACATAAGGAGCCTTAATCGCACAATCTATGTTATTTGACTTATTCCCACTTGCAACTGCAGGCTCATTGTGAGAAGCAAAAAAAGAAGCTATAGGAGAGGTGTGGGTGACATTAACACCTAAGTATATAAATACCTTGAAAGAAACTTTTAATTTAGTCAAAATCTGGATAAATACATCCTTGGAGTTTCTGTCCACTGCAAAACTAAATCCTCCAGTTGTTTTTGGGAGGGTTTTATCAGGCCCTATTGTCAATTTAAAAGTGGCAGACTTCTTGTCTTTTCTAGCAATAATCACTTCTGCTATTGCAGGCATGATCCCTATTATGTCACCATTCACCTTGGTTCCTGTCATTTTGAACCCAGTGACTGTTGTTACAATATCTGACCTATATGCCAACCAAGGGAAGGGGTTCTCTTCAAACTCATAAAATACAGTAGAAATCACAGCATCTATTGGCAATTCTGAATGATCCCCCTGCTTCAGTGTTGGATAAAAGCAATTCTTGCAGTCTTTTTTGGCGGAGAAAGTATTTGTGACATCCCACTTTTCATCTTTCTTTAAATTAATGTTCCAGCTTTTGGCCTCCATTACAGTTTCATTTTCTCCAGGGACTTTGCCTTGTAAAACTATTTCTGCTAAAGTCTCCATGACGGAGAAGGTTTGTTTAACTGCATGCACATTGACATTGCTGAGGTCTAAAAGAGAAGCTTTCAGGACATTGGACAGGCCTGTTAATATACCAGTGCTCAGAAGCTCTGCTTGTTCAGACCCAAGGCTTTTATCCCTGAACCTTTTTAGTGCTTCACTCACTTCTTTCAATTTTTGAATGGCAAGCTGTTGTGACACTCTATTTACTTCAGTGACTTCCTGTGTTAATTCCGAAACACAAGCAACTACTTGATTTACTTCCATTATGTTGGCAGTAGGAATACTCAAAGACTGATTAAGAAGGCTTTCCCTAAATTCAGCCTTAGACACCTGGATAGTTGGTGCAGTTTTAATATCATTTAAAATTGAGGCAACCATATAAACCAAATAGCCTACATTTAAATAATCTCTAATCTGAAGCAAAGCTGTCATTGGTGCACTTGATCCACTGGTTAAAGCAAGAAGTTCGTTAAGCATAATATCTGGCGGTCTGCTTTTGGCTGGATCCTGCACTGTTGTGTGTAAAGTTACTTGGGAAAATGCCCCAAGGGAATCATACACTTGAACATAGATTGTCAAAGTATACTTCTTAGATGGTACACCAATGGGGAGAAAAGATGGAGGAGTTTTAGGCTGATAGCCAAAATACACTATTGTCCCCAATGTATTCTCCTCTAAAGAAGTTATTCTACTGCTTTTCAATAAATCTGAGGCTGCTATTACTTTATATGTAAGAGGTAAATTTTTATCTGAAAATCCACTACACTGAACAATGAATTTTGTCAGGAATGCAACACCCCTGGTTGGATTGACAGTACACTTTCCAATCCTAGGTGGAGAATTTACATAAAATGAGTGCCTGGAGGTTGATGACCTACCACCCCAAGTAGTTATTTTTAGGAGAAGAGTGTATGACCGGTCTGCAATATTCATAAAAGTTAAAGCATGTATAGACAGGTATGCACTAGACTTCCCTGTTGAAGTTTTGGAAGCCCAATCAAATTTAACTTCACTGAAACTTCCTGAAAAAAGTGACCAGTGATAGACCGGTCGACTAGTCATTCTACAGTTTAGGCATTTTCCAGACAATGTAAATCTATCTGTTGGAATTACAAATTTACCACAATTTTCAATGCATATAACATTCAGAACAGGTGGAGATCCAGGCCTCACGCTTATGGTTTGGTCAGCATAACTCTTTCTGTTATCCTTTTGAATGACCAAACGAAAATGGTACATAGTATTTCCTTGAAGGGTTTCTGGCAAAACAGTCTGAGTAGGACCAGAAAACTTTATCCATTTCAAATCTACCTGGTTTGGATGACAGGTCCCATTTGTACTCACTGTCATGTTTGCATAATCTGATCCACGTTTTGTACAGTACCACGTAAATGTGAGCCCCTCTAATTGGTCCACTGAATCAGGATCAGAGGAAGTAGATCCATCCAGAGTCCAATGATCAGAAAACCCCACTGTCCGGAAGGTGCCTCCAGCAATGACTGCCACCAGGTCACTCTTCTCGATCTGAACAAAAACTGTATCTGAGCCTTCCAAAACACCCTCAGATGCAATTATTTTAACAGAGAAATTAAACAGATACAAGCCATAATCTAAACTAAAGCTGGGAATTGGTAAAATGAGCATCTGTCTTCTCCAGATGAGGGGTGGATTTAAAGGTTTTGTCCAGTCTGGAATAGTCGTGACATTCTGAACACCATAGATTTTCCAGATTGCTTCTGTACGTACAAGATCTGTGCAGTTAACTTGCAATTTGGCATACAGGATAAGTTGTAACCCTTTTTTAGTACGTAGGATGGGGTAAACAAGATCAGGCTTCTGGATTCTCAAACGCTCTATGAAACAAGGTTTTTTCTGACAAGACACCAGTGACTCCATGACCTTTGAAGCATAAGTGTTGACTGTGACTTTTAAAACAGCAGGTGTAAGTCCACTTCTGGTACAATTCACTTTTGCCACAAACCCTGTGTATAGGGCAGGATTAAAAGGTAAAACAGAGCGACGGACAAAGTGGACTGCATTTCTGACATGATCATCATAAGTATAAGTATTGTTCTGGATGAGGTACTCTTTTCTTGACCCAAACAGCTGCAGGTTGAAGGTCCACTCACACTGCAGCATCGGATGTTGCACAGGAATAAACCACACAATGTAGATCAAACTCTGCAAAAAAGAAGGACCACTGTTGAAAATGTGGACTTCTATATCTCTGTCCACTAGAGACCTAAACAGGGCTCCTTTCCGGTTCAGATACAAGTGCATGTTGAACTTGTACCATTGCAACCTCACAAACTCAATCGTGAGCAAGAAGGAAAGGCTCTGCTGCTGGAAGAATATATAATGGGTGTTGAAGCCATCATCAGGGGCACTGGCATTGTTTGCTTGGGTGGTGTAATAAAGTCCATGGTTGCGGCTAAAAACGTAAGTGCCAGTCTTGGTCTTCTGGGCATTAAGGGTGAGGTAGGTGGGAGTTTCACTGTTCACTGTCAGGCCCAGCGTAGCATTGGAGAAACTCAGCTCCCCTGCTAGATCCCCAAACCACTCTCCATCAACATGGAAGTAGATGCTGGCCAGCGCCATTTCACTAGCCTGCCGGGGCATGGAGTCAGCACAGAAGTTGCTCCGCAAAGCATAAGGATTATAGGAGGCTGACCAGCCCTCCGTCCCCTGCATGTCCAGCAGTCTATATGCCAGTGTCCTGGGGCCAAGGGGCTGTAGGCTCCAGGAGAGGCTGAGGGGTTGGTAAGGAAGGCTAAACAGCTTAGAGTGGGCACTGAGGACATGCAGCAGAGCCGGCTCCACCCTCAGGGTGAGGCTGAGGCTGATCTGAGGCCCCTGCTCCATGCTGATTGAGGCAATGTAGAGACCACGGCGGGTATAGTGCACGGTCAGGCGGTAGCTGTAGTAGGAGGCACAGACCTGGTGCAATTCAGCTCTTGGGTAGGCAGCGGGTGGGAGCAGCTTGTGGTGCTGGTTGCTAGGAATGAGGAGTGCAGCAGGGCTGCCCCCGCGGCTGCTGAAGCGGTAGCGCCAGCCTGAGCTCTTGAGGCGTGCACACCAGCCCAGCTGCACGGGCTGCCACTCCAGGATGGGGGGTTGCGGGGGCCAAAGCAGGAAGAGCCGCACATCCTGCCCGGAGACCTCGATGCTCAGGTTGCGGTGCAGACACGTAGGCACGGCACAAGAGGCCGACTCACACTGCACCGTGATGCGGCTTGAGGCCCAGGGTGGAGCTGGGATCCCCCTAGCCAGGCCTGGTCCCAGCACTGCCCTGCCTGACCAGCGAGACGTGTCCTGCACCCAGGCCGAGTCCCGGTACCAGCGGCAGCGCGGTGGGGGCGGCAGTTGTGTCTCTCCCTCCTGGGCTCCTGACACTGCTCCCGGGGCCCGCGTATAGCGCAGCTCGATGGGACCATCCCACAGGCACGAGGCCCAGACCTCGTTGTCCTGGCGCCGATAGACGCGTCCGTGCGGGTCCGAGCAGGTGACCCGCAGTGGCGGGAGCTGGAAGCGCGGGGGGCCCGCAGCCGCCCGGCACGGGGGGCCGCAGCAGCCCAGGAGCTGCAGGAGGAGGCTACGGAGCAGCAGCGGAGGCATGGCGGTGGCGGGGCCCAGGGGCGGCCCCTGGCCCGGGAACAGACATCTCCCAACGGCTCCAACTGCCACGGAGCAGCCGCTGCGCAGCTCGGAATTCCCCGCGCCCCGGCACGGCCGGGAGCCCCCGATCTCCCCATTGCCCCCCCGGTGCGGCCCTATCCCCGCCCCCGCGTTTTATGTGGCGCCCAAATTCCTCCCTTCCCTGGTCTGGGGCTCAGGGCCGGGCCGGGCCCTCCCGCAGCCGGCTGGGGGCGCAGCGCTCTGACCTCCAGGGGCCGCTACTGGCTCAGCGGAGCCCGATCCACCCGTGCCCCGCCCCGCCCGGGGTGGTGTCTCCCTGCTGGGGGCGGGCCCGGCGCAGCCCGAGGAGCAGAGAAGGGGCCGGGAACATGGTACCGCTGAGAGACTGCAAGGTGAGGGGGGAGCCGCCGCCGCCGCCCTGGGGCCCGCGCGCTGCGATGGGCTGGGGGGGGGGTGGCTCTTTCTACCAGGTGCAGTTCGTGGGGCAGGCTGGTTGGTCGCCCCCTCCCAACAAAAAACAACAACCTGCCCCCGCACCCACAGTGACATGGGGCTGGACGGGACCTGGAGCGGCGGCTTAGTCCGGTTCCAGGCGCGGGCAGCGCCAAGTGAACCTTGAGCCTCCCGACAGGCGATTGTCCCGCCTGTTCTTAAATACCATGAATACAAGCGGCCGTTTGCTTTCCGCAATCACAGCGGGTTTTGTGGTGGTGACTTACCCCATGGCTCCTGGGTCCCATCCCCAATTCTGCCCCAGCCTGCCTTTTGCAAGCACTTCACCTCTCCCAGCCTCAGGCTCCCTAGCTGAAAGTGGGGGATAACATACAGTGCATCTGTCTCACAGGGATGCCAGACACGCAAGGGGGGTGAAGTAATATCTTTCAGTGGACCGACCTCTGGTGGTGAAAGGTGCAAGCTGTCCAGCTACATCAGGGGTGGACAAACTACAGCCCGCCGGCCAGATCCGGCCCGCGAGCTCCCACTGGAGAGCGGGATCTGGCGTCTGCCCCACTCCGGTGCTCCAGCTAGGGCGCAGGGTCGGGGGCCGCTCCACGCGGCTCCCAGAAGCTGTGGCATGGCCCCGCTCTGGCTCCTATGCACTCCAATGGCCCCATCCGGTGCTCCAATGGGAACTGCAGGGATGGTGCCTGCAGATGGGGCAGCGCGCAGAGCCGCCTGGCCGCGCTTCCAGGTAGGAGCCAGAGAAGGGACATGCTGCTGCTTCTGGGAGCCACTTGCGGTAAGCGCCGCTCGGAGCCTGCACCCCTGAGCCTCTCCCCATGCCCCAACCCCCTGCCCCAACCCTGAGCCCCCTCCCACCCTCTGAACCCCTTGGCCCCAGCCCAGAGCACCCTCCTGCACCCCAAACTCCTCATCCCCAGCCCCATCCCAGAGCCTGCACCCCCCACCAGAGCCCTCACCCCCTCCTGCACCTCAACCCCAATTTTGTGAGCATTCATGGCCCGCCATACAATTTCTATTCTGTAGCTCAAAAGCTTGTATGTTTCATCAGTAGAAGTTGGTCCAATAAAAGATATTACCTCAGCCACCTTGTCTGGCTAATATTCTGGGGCCACCATGGCTACAACAGTGCAAACAATCACAGGGATGCTGTATTGCTACTTGTGTGTGTGAAATGTTTTGAGACATTTGGGTGAAAAATTTTATTTGTGTCCTGTCCAGCTGGCTTTGGGGTGGGGAGGAATGTTAATGACCAAGCACAATATCTATAATGGGAAATGGGGGAGAGTGAAACAGGCTAAAGTTTTCAGCATATAGTGGAAAGCTGGAAAGGGAGAGGAGGCTCAGACCCCCTTTCCCTATTTGCACTATTGCTCCATACAGAGTTTATAGCTGGCAATACAACATATAGCAGTTCTGCTGGTCTCTGCTTCTCCCCATAAGCACTGTCCACACCATCCTGCTTTCTAAAAAGCTTCCTGCCATTGCTAACACAGTGCAGGCAAAGCACAAAGAGGTCTACATAACAGGATAGATATAATGCTGTCTGCCAAGGGCACCTTTTCTACTCCAGTATTCCAATGCTTGATACCACCTGTGGAGTTAGGGTGACCAGATGTCCCGATTTTTGGGTCTTTTTCTTATATAAGCTCCTATTAACCCCCACCCCGTCCCGATTTTTCACATTTGCTGTCTGGTCACCCTATGTGGAGTTAGCATCAGAAGCAGTGGAATATTTTTCAGAAATAAGGCTAGTGCAGGCAAAGTCTTACTATCAATATATATACAGAGTTATACAGCCTACCTACCTCTTTTCCTTTCTTTATTGCTGGTGTTTTTTGCCATATTTCTGTACATAGTACAAATACTAAACAAAAGATGTAAATTTGGATTCCAGTATGGTCTTTTTAGACCTGTAATTTGAGCACTCAGTTTACTTAAATTACTTGCATGTGATCTTTAATCCAATCACACTGAGGAAACCCTGAAATTGTTAATTAAAATAGATGTCTCTGCCAGTTGCTTCAAATTTCCACACTTGAGTTCATGGTTAGAATCAGAAAATATTTTAGACTGTAAAATGAGGCTAGGTAAAAAACTGCAAAATATATAAGGAATATTCTTCCATTAGCAGGAGAATCTATTAAATGGCTCCAGGTCTTTCCATCTGTATTTTCTGTAAATTCTATGTAATGGAAGAAAAATTGAGTTTGACTGTAGTTATTTGTGTAGCTCTTAAAGTGTGCCTAGCATTATACAGTGCATAATATGTGTTAACTTGAGTCTCTGCCCATAGAAGCTTGTAGTCTAAATAGCGCTAGTGATACCAGTATAGAAAGAGAGTGTGGGAAGTGGTCTGTGTATTTAGATAGCTTTTTGGATACAAAGTTAAAAAATGTCATTTAGGAGGCGAAGTCAAGCACTTGAAAGTTAGGAAATGAGATTTAAGGTTTCCCATCCAACCTTCATCCCACTTCTTTGTGCATCCATCCCGTGGAAAAGAAATATTATGTAATTAAAGACTGTATGTATATGCACAAGGGAGCAGAATTAAGGTTGCATGGGCAATCTGATGGCAAATTAGGAATTATCATTAGATTTTTTATTTGACTATGGGGATTGTTCAGGAATACCACTAAGGACATTCATGACCAGTTCACCACAGCCAACCACCCTATTGTGTAAAACATACATCACCTCATCCAGCTAATAAAAGGTCTTATTTTAATTTTCCTGCTTATAAATCACCCTGGTGGATCTGAAACCTCTGTTATCGCAATGAGTTGTTTGCCATGGAGTTTATAGAATGAGGCTGTTATATAATCTGTGTGTAAAATTGTGCACCGCATAATTCTTTCAGTGTTTGTTATATTTTAGCCTTATCAAATGTCCCTACTAGTTCTATAAATTAATCCTTAGGTCAAATATTTTGCTGGCATAACTCAGTTGACTTCCGTGGATTTACGCCAGCAGATAATTTGGGCCCCTAGTATCACTGGTGGTATTGGTTTGATAGGAAGCAAAGCAAGGATTTTATTTTGCCACATAAGCATTTTGAAAGGGGTATATCTGAAGAGATGGGACTAGTATACAATTGAAGGTTAAAGAGAGACTGATCCTAAAATTACAAGACCCATAGCATATCTGGATCCTCCACAGTATTGTGCAATTTGCCTTGTCTTTCTTCCACCACTACCATTCCGTCCTTTCTATCCCCATTAAGAGGACTCCTCAAATATAATTGTAGTGGAATAAAAGGCTCACATAGCTTCTCAAGTTGTCCTGTACACTTTTGTAAGTAGATGAAACTAAATTCCCGGTAACCTTCTTTCAATTCTTATACCTCAGCTTACATGACATCTGGAAAATCAGTGTATTCAGTAAACAGTCTCACATCTTGTTTAAAGAGGTAAGGTGGGTGAGGTGATATGTTTTTTAGACCAACTTCTGTTGGTGAGAGAGACAAGCTTTTGAACTACACAGAGCTCTTCTTCAGTCTGGAAAAGGTGCTAATATTCTGGGACCAACATAGCTATGACAACACTGCATACTCACATCTTGTTTTTTATATAGGCCTGGCAGGATGCTGGACTTGTCCTATCCACCACTAGTAATGAGGCCTGCAAACTGTTTGATGCTACGCTGACTCAGGTAGGGAAGAGTTTTGATAAAACGTGCATTGAAGGGACTGACAAGCATAAAAATAGTGTTTGTGGCAGTTGGTTTTTGAATTGTTTACCCTTTTTATTAATTAAGTGGAGAGAGTCAGGTTAAACAATGTATTTTTAAGAAACAGATTCCCTCATTTATTGATGACATGTTAGATAATTACATCTGAAAAAACTTAGTCTCACCGTTACCATTTATCTTGTTACTTTTGAATTCACTCAATTGGGACAATGAAAAGAAACTTAATTTCTCCTAATTTCTAGTCAATTTCACTCTTTATTATAGTATGTCACATGGACCAATGATAAGAGTCTAGGAGGCATTGAAGGATGTCTCTCCAAGTTACTAGCAGCAGATCCAACTTTTAGTAAGTATACCTTTTTAATGGTTATCACTGAGGCTGAACATACAGTACAGTCATTTTATATGGTTAACTTATTTCATATTACTCCTGGTGGAATTCTGTGCCAAAAATGCAAAATTCTGCATATTTTATTTGTCAAAATAATGCAATAGAATCATGCCAGTTTCACTTATTTTGGTAATTTATCTAAACTACCATACAGAAAAAAAATCACAATAACTATTCAGCATTTCCTAAACACATGGAAGTTAAGTTACAAATACTTGTTAACCAATACCCTGCATTCCAGTTATAATCCTGGATTTTCATTTAAATTACATTACCGGTGTTTGGTGTTCTGTAAAGTAGAATGTTGCTTTAAACTGCTCAGACTTTCACACATGAAAGCCGTACAGGTTTGCTAATCATTGTCCTGCATTTTTTTTTAATGGATAAATAAAATAGATCCTGATTTGTAATCTACCCCCATTGTGCCTCTCTGGCACAGGAGAAAAAGCAAGAAAGCACATAGCTCTTCCTAGCTGAGGATTCTGTTACTGTCATTTACAATAAGGCTCCTTTACACCACTCTGTCAAGGTGAAGGAGCCTCAATTGACTAAGAATGGGAACAATTAACTAACAATGGGAACATTAGCACCTTGCCTGCTTAGTTGTTACATTTCTGCTCTGCCTCAGGGACAGAGCCTGCTTCACACAGTCCTATGGCTCCAAGCTCGGGATGCAGCAACAGAGAAGAGAGGGACAGAGTGAGTCTCTCTCACTCCTTCCCACGCAGGCGTGTGCCCAGCCCCACCCCCTTAACGTCGCTCCACAGCAGATGCGCCCGGGCTGCTGTGGAAGGGGCATGTGTCCCCCACAGATTTCTTGGCTCCCCCATTTTTCTGCGGGGGAGCCAAGAAATCTGTGGAAGGTATGAATATGGCGCAGAATTCTCCCAGGAGTATCACACGCAGAAGCATAAGGGCTGGATCCTGAAAATATACTGATTGTTTTTATTTATGTTCTACAAGATAGCCCTTTTTCTTCCCTTTAGGACAATCTCTTTTAAAAGGCAAACATGAGAAATGGGCTGAAAAAATGTACTTCAAATGAACTATGAAATGTAATTACTAAAATGAATAGTAACTTGGGGGTACATGCTTGGATTTGGATCTCAGTCATATTGAGGATGGTGATGTGCTTAGGGACTGGAGGAGACAATGCTTGCTATGCAATCTCCTCCTGCTGGCTGATGAGTATGATAGGATTAATGAAAGAAAGTGACCACTTGACAGGGAAAAAATGAATGGTGGGGAAAGTGGTGAACCTCAAATTGATGTAATAGTGTTTGCATGCTAATTCCTAATTGTCCCTGATCATGTGTTTACCTTTATTATTTTAAATACACATAGTATGATGTGATGCAGTGATAGCAATAAACTATATTGATTAAATAAAAAGCTTTATTTATAAGCATGTATTAGAAAAGTACAACATTCGCCCATTGCCAGGCAGGCCAGCTGCCATTACCACACCAAAACTCCAGTAACAGAACCTTACACAAAAAGTGAAACCATGTACAAGACTGAAGCCCCCTACCATTGCGTGTCCGCTACTCCCCGCCCTCGCTACCCATCCTCCTTTCCCTGTTTGCCGTGCCCTTTGTGCTGGGGGTGGGGAGTGCTGCATGGGAAAATATGGAGAGCTGCATGGGGCAAGTTTGCATGGGCCACCCAGCCATGGAGTTTTTCAAGCTCTTTTTGGACTGCATCACAGGGTACCATGCATGGGACTCATGCCATGGTGCAGGTATTGCAGCAGGACCCGATACTCTTGCAGCCATTAGCGATATACGCTGTTCAGACAGTTTTTTCTGCTGAGCTCTGTCCTCCTCCCTTAGCTGCTGTTCCTATTCCAGGAACTGTGAAGCAAGTGCTTGGTCTCATGCTGAAACCCTGTCCTCAAGATATGCAACAAGCCTGAGCCTTTCCTCTTGCCGCTCACCATACTTTTCCTCTAGCCATAAGTCCCTCTGTCTTTGGTACTGGACCTGCTTGTTGTCCCTGTTTAGAACTTTAACCATAAGTTCATCACAGAAATGCTTCCACTTGGAATGGTCTGTGAAGGTACGTCAGCCCAGGCTTCTGCTGCACTGTGGGCAAGCTATGGAGGTACTGCAGTGAATGGAGGTCAAGCGGTCTGGAACAGGACAAAACACAGAGGGTTATTGTCTCACATAGCTCAATGCAGGCTTCTGTCCCTTCTGTGGCTGCTGCAGGCTCCACAGTGGACTGTTCCTCAGAGGTACATCAAACAGGTCATCCAAGTATGGCCTCAGGATGTGCTGCTGGTGCTCTGCCCAAAAGCCTCCTTTGGGAACAGTTTCAGCAACAGAGTCACTTTGCTGGCCTCACTTGGCGCTTTTTGCTGGCTCCCATTAGTCACCATGCTGGATTCTGGGGTCAGCAGGGTGCCATCCCAGCTGACCACTTCATCATGCACCACTGCTGGGTCTGTGCTCAGCACAGTGCCCAGCACCTGGTCAAACTCCTCATAAAACAGGCATGTTGCCTGAGGTGTGATCCCTGGTTTTCCTGTACTCAGTCTTGAGCCGCTTAATCTGCTCCCTGCAGTGATCACTGGTTTGGTAAATTTGCAACACTGCCAGCTTCTTCTCTATTTGCTGGTATGTATGGTCATTCCTTGTACTCTTACTAAAGTCCACTGTTTTGCTGGCCTCGCACCAGGGATTTACCAAAATCTGGCTGCGTACCTGTGACCATGAAGCAGCGTGCTTTGCAAAAGGCTTCTCCTGGTCAGCAAATACAGATGGCTCTCTGATGGTGTGTTTGCAGCTTTGTGTTCAGAAGACAGTGGAAGTGTTAAAGGCTGACACCCAGCTGCTGCACTTAACTTAGAGGGGTTACTTCCATTTCCCTGCAGTCAATTGGAGATTCTTGGGATAGAAAAGACAAAGGAAGTTGGCCAAGAGGATTGTGGGATACTTTTGGTGGACTCACAGGACCCAAGTCAAGAGGCTGCATTTACATTACAAAGCAAGAGTTTGAATCCTGGGTCTTGGCTTGACTTGGGTTTGAACCCTTCACCCCTGCAGGCTCCTAGGATCCTAAGTACAAACCTGAGTCTGAGAGATTTGTGTGCAGATGGAAGGGGGGTTGGGCTCAATCCTGAGTCTGGGCTTACGTTGCAGTGTAGATGTACCTTAAGTTGCCTGGGCTTTCCATTGGGATCCTAACCAGTCTCTAGCACTACTGCCATCTACTGCCTCTGGCTCTCATTTAAACTTCTCTCTATAGTTTAGCCTAGAGCTTCTGCACCTGTTAAATTACTTGCAACTCTTAGTGTCTAATGTTTATCAATGCTGCTTTCTTCAGCGATGGGACACGTGATTGCTAATGGCTTGGTTCTGATTGGCACTGGAACTTCAGTGAGGTTAGACAAAAAGCTGGACAGTGCGATGAACAAGATGATGGCACTTTCAGAATCGCAACCACTGACTGAGAGGGAGAAGCTACACGTTTCTGCACTTGACATGTTTGCCAGTGGGTAAGCGGTTAGTTTTTAGAGGAGAAGAGGTGGAGAGGGTTTTATCATTCAAAATGTGTATAGTGTAGTTGCATGTTGCTATTTCATTTTCATTTTTATTGTTGACTTGGCATCTTTCAGTCCTCTTGAGTGACTGTATGCATCACTGTGCTAATTAACAAGCAATATCATAATAAAAATTATTGTTATGGTGCCAGCATACTAAACTTAATTAGTTTTAAGCATTCTGTATTTTAAAACCTACCATTATTCCAATAATGGACTAAATTATTTTTAAAACTAAAACCACTCAAGGGGGTAAATCTTTGGTTATGCTGAAACTTGAGCATAGCATCCCATGGAGCTGGGGCTGCAGCAGTCTTTTCCTATTCTTCTTTTTATAGCCCCCCTGCACCACAAGCTCTGTTTCCTCTAAAAAGGAGAGATGATACATAGTTGGAAGCACTCCCAGAAAATTAGGACTTTGGGGATTTGAGCATTTACAGAAATATATTGAGTTTGCATATCCTGTCAAAAATATTGCACGCTATTAGTTTTGGTTATTTGCTTTCTGTCAATATGAAAATACTTTTAATGCTAATATTTGATAACAAAGGTTAGGAATGAAATCACTAAAGCTCTGACCCCGCAAGTTCAGTTTGCATGGCGGGACCCCTGCACCTGTGAGGAACTAAATGAACTTCCGTGAGTCTCTCTGCAGGTGTGAGGATCTTCCCATGTGGCTCAACATGCAAGATCAGGGCCAAAAGGTAATTCATTTTCCCTTCTGTTACAGTGCATTACTAGTAACAAAGAATGCCATATACATGATTGTGTAGAAAGTACTCTGTGAAGACAGTATAACAATCGTGTATATTATAAATTAAGAAAAATTCCCGCAAGCTAGGAAATTGTCACTTCTTGTTAGGTTTTTCACTTACACTTGCTGGAGTACTATAAGTTTAGAAATATTAGACTGAGACAGTTAGGTCTTGCTGACTCTGTCAATGATTAATATTTTTTCTTCTCTCTAGGCGTTTTCCCAAAGCTTGTGATGTATGGGATCAAATTCTACGGGACCATCCAACGGACATACTAGCGCTCAAATTTGCCCAGGCCACTTACTTTTACATGGGATGTCACACTCAGATGCGAGACTCTGTGGCCCGTGTTTATCCTTACTGGACACCTGATATTCCTCTTAGTAGGTATGCAAGAGTTGATCTTCAGATGTCTGTGGATCGCCACCTCTGGTTTGCATAAGTTCAGAAGCTTCTGGTCAGCAATGTGTGAGGCTGTTGCAAACTTTTCCCGATTATTCCTGCAATCACTGCCTGAGGACAGATAAGGGAGTGCCAACTAACCACCCTTGGCTTTAAAAATATGCGTATAAGAATGAACTTTTTTTTTTTTTTTTTTTGCATTCCTATTGACCCACTGGTCAGTTGTTTTTAACTGAGATTTTGTCTGAATGGGTCATTGATGATGTTGATTAATTTATAGTACTCAAAAATGTCACAAATGATATATGAAGACATGGGGTGAAATCCTGTCCTAATAAAGTCAATGGCAAAACTCCCATTGACTTCTGTTGGGCCAGTTTTGTATCCATGGTCTTTACTCAAAAGAATGTACAGCTAAGCTGCAAGACTTTACAAGAAGGAAGCAGAACTGGGAGAGGAAAATGCAGCCGTGGGACCCGGTTTTAATTTGGACTGCCAAACCGTTGTTCTGAAATAAGAACTGGGATTTTCCTAAAAAGAGTTGTGCAACGAGGAAATCTAGTTCAGCCTGCTTGCTGCCCAACTTAATAACTAAGTGTGCATGCTGAGCCAGCTCTCTCAGGAAGAGGGCTGCTGTGCTGCACCCATCTAAAACTTCTAGTGCTTCATGAAATGCTGCAGGATGATCCAGTTTGGTCTTCTGGAATTAATGCAAGATAATCTAAATATGTTGACATAGTTACTTATCAAACATGCATTAGAACAGGTTTTGGGTTTTTTTAAACAAAAAATTCAAACTCTTGAAAGGCAAAAAAGGCTACTAGCATTAAACTCATGAAAGGATTTTAACTTTGAATTATAAAAGAAATTTAGAGGTGAGTGCAGAGATAAATTTATAAGTGACATACAGGTTGACATACAGAGGTAGATGTACAAAGCATCCATATGCAACCAGCTCCTTCCCTGACACTATAAGCTGTATGAATACAACCTTGTGACCAGCATACTGTATCTCTTCCTCCAAAACAAACTTACTTTGTTACCTCAGCTATGCAGGAAGAAAGACAAGGTGCTATGGATGTGGTTTAATTAGGCCACAATTTTATTCGCTTTACATATCTGGGAATACATGGCAATAAATTGTTCAGGCCTTTGTTAATTGTTTCTGCCTATTTGGGAGGGTAGCTGTCAGCCTTCTCCCTTCCCAGTCTATTGCTGGGACCCTACTACCTTCCCTGAGGGTTAAGAGGAGTTGGAAAAAAGCGGGTGTTGTCTCCCTTCTATTCCAGACCTTAGGAGCCCCAAGTACCCCTTACGCAGCTTCCTGAGCTATGCCCTCCCTTAGGTCCACTTCCAACTCCTGTTTACCAGGTATCCCCTCTGTAACAAGTATCTGCACTGGACTCCTGCCACATCTGCTACCTACTAAATTTGACATTTGACTCCTTCCTGTCCCACTGGGTCTTTGACCTGCTGTGAGGCAGGAGAAAAAACCCACCACGCCTCAGCCAATCTGGCAATGAGGGTATAATTCCTTCCCAGCCCCAAAAGAGAAAAAGCAACAAGTTCAATGTCCACAGCAAATCATAAAAAGTCTGCTCCCGTAGATGGGAGGGTGAGTGCTGCTGGACAGTGACTGAGGAGAGAGAGATCCTTCTGGAATACACAGGGTATAAATACCTTCCCCTTCTCCGCTGGGTTCGTGCACCTCACTCCCCCAAATCTGGCCAGTTCCTGTTCCTCCGTTTGCTCCAGTCGGGTAAGTCTGTTCCTGTTTCCCCTTCCTCATAACCCAAGTACAGTAGGGACCTTAAAGGAGCCCTGTCCCCTTTTTCCTGCTGCCTGCACAAAGACCCACCGTATTTAGTTGCAGTGAGTACACTCCAGAAAGTGGACAAAGAGCTGACAAAACTTTGACAGTATTTGATGTACCTAGCATGGGAACCCAACAATGTCATGTGGATAACACACAGCATAGTAGGCAGAGTTAGGATTCTCTGAAGAACAGCAAATTCTGACTTTTTGAGATGTCCAATATAAACTTAAGAATTTCAAGCTTTTGCTCTGACTAACTACAGTATTCTGATATCATGAGTGCAAGTAATTAATTAAATGCATCTTAATGATTCCTTTTTGTCTGGGAATAAGCACTGGTATCTATTTTATTATACTTTGCAGAGCTTCAGTAGAACAGTGGGAAAGAAAACTGCTACATTACCCAGACATAAAGTACCCTTTTTCGCCTCTCTGTAAAATCTTTTCACTTCAAAATATATTAAATTGGGAAAATGATACAATATCTACAACATTATACTTTGGAAATATATGCACTGAATATTGTAAACATACTGTACTTGATTTCTTTAAAATACTCTGCATCTCACAAAGTTCTGTGTGATTTTTTTTTTGTAGTTAGCACAAAACATGAATACATATATCTTCCCATTCCAGGTATGTTGGGAAAGAAAAAGTTGGGCATTTCCTCAATATGCTAATTTTTTGTAGGAAAAAAATCAGATTCTGTGTACTTTCCCCTTTTCCCACTATTCGGTATTAATATGTGCAGTGGAAGAATTATTTTGTATTGAAATTTTTTAATGTGCTTTGCAATACTAGCTTTAGCCTCCTAATTCTAAATGAGGTTTTCCTTTTGTTTAGCTATGTGAAAGGCATATACTCCTTTGGACTGATGGAAACTAATTATTTTGATCGTGCTGAAAAGCTCGCTAATGAGGTAAACAGGACACTATTGGTGCTAAAAGGTTTTTAAGTTTTTAATCTTATTTAGTATTCAGATGTTCCTTTGAGAGAGAAGATAAATGACAATTTAAAATAAATTAAACAAAAGTAAGCAACTGTTCTCAAATTCATAACCGTTCATGTGCCACATCCTCATGGTAGGTTATGGGCCTTTGAGACCTAAGAATAGGGGATTTCCCCCTTTTCCTTAGTTTTTGCTGGCTTTTTAAATTCATGATCGGAGGGGGGAGGGAAGGATGAGAGTGAAGGACAGACAGAATCTTGCTATGCAAGCTGAAGAGAATAAAATGGAAACTTGTCATTGAGAAATGCATTTGAGACTTGTGTCCGTTTGCCATCAAATCTTAGGAATGGTAACAGCCCCCTAGTAAAATATCAGACGTGCAATAGATTAATCTGATGCGCACTCTGCATAATGCCTTGGTAAATTAGGTATATGTCATTCATTCTTTATAAGTATGATCTCATTTGCAGTGGTAATGAAAATCTGGCAACATAACCACATGACCAAGGGTTCCAGTAAAATAGGAAAGTTACATGAATTATAGCACAAATGGAATCTATTGGCATCTTCGTATGTTTTTGCCAAACTGCTTATATGTGCCAGATTGCTGAAAGTAATAGAACTTAAATCTCTTATTTTACATTAAATTGACAGCAAATGAAATTTGTGGGCAATGTCGGGGGGATTTACAGATGAATGGAGAATTGTTGGAATAGTAAAGATGCAGCTGTCTGATATTCAGAACTTAGCAGAGCATGTTCTTGTTATAGGAAAAGTGGTTAACTGCAAGGAACCGTATTATTATTTTCTTTTACAGCAAGTGATCAACTCATATACTCCCCATATGGAGGGTATGAGATGGGCATAAATCATGGCTTTGCCCATGCCATATACTCTTCTGAGCCTGAAGGATAAGGAAAGTTTGTAAAATGAAGTGTAATTCGGTGGTCTTGGTTCAGGCCTTCATTCTGAAACTACTTTGCAACTGGTATCTGTTCAATAGATGCTAGCAAGTGAACTCATCCAGCATACATTTTTTTCTTCTTTCTGTTGAAACCAGTCTCCCAGGATATGATTGAAGTTATAAGCAGAGATATACTTAATACCCATCATGTATGAGAAACATTCTTCAGTTTCTATACTCGCAATAGTATGTACAGTTATTTGTAATCTACCCGGTATGCATCATGCTATTTTCTCTTTTCCCACTACCAGGCCTTAGCTATAAACCAGTCAGATGCATGGTCTGTCCATACTATAGCACACATAAATGAAATGAAAGCAGACCTGAAGAATGGGTTGACATTTATGAAGCAAACTGAAAACAACTGGAAGGTAAATTTCCTTAACAGTTCCTCTGATGTGGCTGACTGTGGGTTTTTTCCTCCTTCCACTAAATACTAGTGATTCCTCTTTATGTAACATACTTTTAATCAGATCTGTTTCCTAATGAAATTTGTAGACTTTCACAAATAATAGGAAACTACTGCTTCAAGATGGAATCTCCATTCATGCCACTTTGGAAGCAACAGGCAGAAAATGTAACAACAGTTCCATATTTCAGAAATCCACCCTGGGTATTAGTCATCCAAAAATTCCCCTCAGTGTTTATAGCTGAGATTAGTGATACACAATTAAAACAAAAAAACCCCAACAACTCCAAACTCATTCCCTGAAGTTTCTGTTTTAATGACCTAAATAAAAACTTTTAAAGCAAATGGGTGAAATACTGGTCCCACTGAAGTCAATAAAAGTTTTTCTATTGACTACAGTGTATCCAAGATTTCACCCAAAATTCTATTAGTTCTCATATTTTACCTCGAAATATTGAGGTAAGTTCTGAAGGCATCTTTAACTAGCATGTGATCTTACATATAAAAATATTTCACAATTCATAAGCACAACAGAGTTGTTAGACATTTTGAGTATGTCTACGCTGCAATGTAAGCCCATGGTTAGTGGGGCTTTAGTCAGGTGACCCATGCTAGGGAACCCTGGGCTTGAGCTTCTACATTATATTTTAACCCTAAGGCTCTGGCTTCCACACAGTAGAGTGCAGACCCAAGTCAAAGTAACCATATCCAGAGTCCCTAATGCTGCCCCTCCCCACCCCAAAATGTGGCCACTCTAGCCCTAGGACCATGGTGCACTGTGGGGAAAGCTTTGTCCCCCACGCCCCCCCCCCCCCACACACATTACCAGGAAGCAGCTCATTTTGCAAAAGGCTTCATCAGTTTGCTCTCCACTGCAAACCCAGGAGGCTCTCTGATAGTGTGCTTGCAGATCAGTGATCCAAAGAGAATGGGTTAATGCTGACATGAGCTGTTGCCATTTGCAAAGAGGGAGTGGTGGCTTCCATTTTCAATAGAGTGAATTGCACGTTGTTGGGATAGAGAGGACTAAGGAAGTTGTCCCATGAAATTGGGATACTTCTGGCTGACTCTTGGGACCTGAGTCAAGCGGGGCTGTGTCTACACTGTGAGGCAATAGTGCTCAGACCTTGGTTACTGGCTGAACTCAAGCTTGGATCCTCCAGTCTTGCAGGGTCCTGGGACCCTGGGTTAGTGCAATTGCAGTGTAGGTGCAAGGATTGTTAGGCTTGAGCCCTGGCTCAAGCACAGGCTTGACATACCCAAAGGGAGGTGGCCAGTAGATAAAACATTTTACATGCCACTTGTGATTTGGATCATGAGCAATATATATGTGCATAGGATGCTTTTATCTGCTGTGGCTATGGGCCCTTTGCTCTGATATGCAGGCAATAAAGTGAAATTTATGAGCTTTCTACTAAGCCTAAGATCAGCAATTTAAGAATAAATTGAGGGACTTGACAAAACTACTTCATGAAAAGATTAGTGAACATAGAATGAATTGTAGGGAGACACAATCAAAGCAAGATTGTAAAAGACCTCAACTTGTGTTTGCTTTTGGGGAGGGGAGGATGTTAAAAGATTGACTGGAAAGGAAAATGGTGCTTGTGCCCTTTTCTGTTCATGTTCTTATATCATATCCATCTGAGCATGGTCCAGTAATGCACTAAATCAGTGGTTCTCAACCAGGGGTATGTGTACCCTTGGGGGTACACAGAGGTCTTCCCGAGGATACATCAACTCATCTAGATGTTGGCCTGGTTTTACAACAGGCTACATAAAAAGTGCTAGAGAAGTCAGTACAAACTAAAATTTCATACAGACAATGACTTGTTTAAAGTGCTCTATATCCTATACACTGAAATTTAAGTACAATATTTATATTCCAATTGATTTTGATAATGATATGGTAAAAATGAGAAAGTAAGCAATTTTTCAGTAATAGCGTGCTGTGACACTTTTATATTTTTTCTGCCTGATTTTGTAAGCAAGTAGATTTTAACTTGGGGGTATGCAAGATCAATCAGACTCCTGAAAGGGGTACAGTAGTCTGAAAGATTGAGAACTAAATAACATAACCAGTATCTGTCATGTGGGTCTTTTCCTTCTTTCTTTCTCCTCAGGCAGAAAATTGTGTGTAGATTTTTAACTTTTGTCTGCTGTATGCAATGTATTTAATAGTGAAGGAAAGGTATCAAAGAAATGCACCTTGCACTTGGAACAGAAGGTTGGTGAAGTTTGTGGTGGTTCTTACAACCCACAGGAGTTTGCTCCAAGAAAGGTCTGTCTGCTGTAGGAATGAGCTTTATCCTTGCAATTGACAGTTCCACTACTCAGGGAGCAGAGCTGTATCAAGAAGGCCTAAAGAGGTTTGGGGTTGTTTTCTGCTTGTTTTTAAAAATTAGAAATCTTCAATATCAAGATTAGTATTATTGACAGAGAGCTTTCTGAGCACTCCCTGAAGGTTCAGGCATATCACATTTCAGAGAGAGATTTTTTTTTTTCCCTTTGCTGATCAACTTTGAGGACAACAGCAACAAAACAAACAAAAACACGGCACCAAAACTAACAAACAAAATTGTAATGAACTATAAATAGAAAATGTGGGTGAAATTTTCAAAAGCACCTGAGTGCTCTCTCAACTGCTGCCTAACCTTGTAGATACCTAAAGTCCCATGGTGCCTAAGTTTCTGCAGTAATGTCCCCTAGGAACCTACATTTCTATTGTTGGGCATATTCACGGCCCACTGTGTTCCGATGATTGGACACCTAGCTCACACCTAAGAGCCAGCAGGATCCTCAGACTAGGGCTGCCCTACCTATCTCATCTGCAGGGCCCAATTCAGCAAGCTTGCTCAGAGCATGCCTACTGGATTGGGCTTTGCATAAAATGCAGCCTGTGCGGGAAGGTGCTGCCACCTTCTTACAGCCTTTACCCCAGTGGTGAGAGCATTCATCTAGGAGACCTTGGTTGGAATCCCCACTTTACCTGGAATTTGGACCCAGGTCTGCCACCTCCCAGGAATGGGTCCTAACTGCTGGGCTATGGGATATTATGGGGTGGGTCTCTCTCAGTCTGTCCTGTTGAAGCTGTTCCACTTTATATAAATAATTATTCATTAGAACGTAGGTCTTCCACATCCCAGGTGAGTGCCCTAACCACTGGGCTATAGAGTGAGAATGACTGTTTCTCTGGCCCAGTGACTTTAATTATTTGTACAAAGTAGAACAGCTTTTTGCAAGAAAGGACTTAGGCACTAACTCCAGGAAAGGGTTCATGCTTGTGATTCCCAAGCTGAAGGAGGCACCTTCCACTGGTCTGGATTTAGGTGCCTAAATCCCTTTGAGGGGTGCACTTAGGCCACACCCTTCCCCAAGGCATTTCTTATAGGTTAGCCTATGCAGCACTAAGAAGCTACATTTTATTCATAGGGAAGGGACCAATAATCTTATTTGCGTGACATTTGGAACAGATTACTGTATAGGCCAAACTTGCTAATGTCACTTTTATGTCTAACATTTAACCACCTGAGTCAGTAGAGTCCTTGTTGTAGTTTAATATTAAACAAGTTACGATAAACCACTGGCGTATGTAAACAACATAAAATGCTGACATATGGAGAACTCTCTCACATCTCGGAGGTTTGTACTGAAGTAGTTACCACTAAAATGAGCACTCTGTTCCTTTAGAGATAAGATTAATTTTAACTTCTCCATTGGGCAGGAATAGGTAGTTTTAGAGTCTGTGATTATTGTACTTATCTGAGTTGCCCCCAATATATTGTGGATTCAGATTCCTGTTTGTTACACTGGTGCAACCCTGTTGTCTTCAGTGGATTTGTGCCAGCGTAATCAGAGGCAGATTAAGGTTTCCCGAGCCCTGGGCCAGAGCAAGTGGGGGGTCCCTCCCCATCCCTTCTGCCTGTGGCCTTGCCCACAGCTCCACCCCTTTCTGCCCCTTCCCTGGGGGTGGGGCCTGCCCCTGTTCCACCGAGGGTCCCCCCCATTTCACCTTCCCACTGCAGCCCCACAACCCCTTTTGCTCCTTTCTCCCCTCTGCCCCTCACTGAGGCCCCAAGACTGGAGAAGCTCTGTCTGCTTGCCACAGCCCCGGGCTGCAATGGGGAGTGAGAGCTCCTCCAGTCCCAGGGCCACAGCTGGGATCCGGGTGCTGGGGCTTCCCCTGCTGCCCTGCAGCTTTTGCGGGGGGGACGGGTGGGGCTTCCCCTATCCCGCAGCTTTGGCCGGGGATGAGGTCAGGAGAGGCTGTGGGGGGGGCTTCTCCCCGCCTGGTGGGGAGAAGCCATGGAGTGGTGTTGGGGTGCGGGGACTTCCCCCGCCCCGCCTGCCCGGTGGCTGGGGCTCTGGGCTTCTGCTGCCGGGCAGCGGATTATTTCCAGGGGCCCCCCAGTTGGTGGGGACCCCTGGGCACAGGCCCCATGGGCCCAGTGGCTAATCTGCCATTGGTGTAATGGAGAGGACTATTTGACCTTATGCTGTCAGCCTATGGCTGGAAAGGCAGGCGTGAAGTTAGTCCAGTCTGTGTAGAGGTTTTCCAATAAAGGTGCCATTGAATGAGGTGGAGTCTGATTCAAAATGCAGTTCTGCTCTGAAAAGTTGCTCTATAGAACTTGAATTGTGAGGTTCCATATTTGTCTCTCTCTACATATCCACAAAGAGCAAGTCTACTGAGTAAGAATGTGCTGTTGTCAGTTTTCAGACTGGAACAACAGTTTAAGCTTCTTGGCTCTAATATCTACTGATTTATTAGGCCCTCAGATTTGGATGCCCTGGATCTGTTTAAATCAGAGTTTAAATTGGAAGTAAAATATTTTCTCTCTCTTCTCAGGACTGTGACATGCTTGCTTGCCATAATTACTGGCACTGGGCTTTGTATTTTATTGAAAAGGTATGAGCACACTTCTACATCTATATACTATCTGCTCCAGTCGGATTAATATTCTCATATTAACAGGCAGACCTGACAAAAAGGGTATGGTCTGCTTTCCTCCCTTCTTTCTATTTGGATGTTTTTATGAAATACTGCAGTATAATTTGTGGTTTTTGGTTATATCGGGTCGCGTTATATCAGGGTAGAGGTGTACAATTTTTTCCTACACGTAGAATGTAAGAGCCTGGAGTTTGCAAAAATTACATGAGAGAGACCAATAGGGCCACTATGTTAAAGAAATGAGAGATTTTATGCTGTTAATTTCCCCCTAGTCTTAAAAATATTTAAGATCTATTTAAACTCTTTACAAATATGTGTAAGTTATCCTGAACCTATTGGGTTGCAATATATATTTTCTTTGGATTTAATAATACTTAGCACTTAACGTGTTGGGGGCAAAAATTAGCAGGGAAATAAATGGTGGTATGTAAGTGGCAAAGCAGTATGAGTTGGTGAGGCAATACATGTTAATGACAAAGACTGTAATTTGCCCCAATTTAGCAGTTAATTAATACAAAACTTCATGTTACACCCTCACTGGAGAGGGTAAGATAAAGCAAACCCCTTCCTTACTTTATTGAAACCTTCTCCAAGTTACTTTTCTTCCTACGGCTCCCCTCCCAATACCCATGTGTTAACATGTACTATATGTTGCATTTGTTTTGCACATCCACTGAAATGAGATTTCCATGATAATTTTGTGTGGTAAATTTAGTATTAATCCACGTTGAATTTTCCTTTAAATTTATTCAGAGCTCTTTGATTAAGTTTTGGATGAAAGCCACAAAATAACTCCAGAGTTTATTTTATTTTTATGTATAATTGCTTTTTATGTACTTGAGGTACTCTCTTCTTAGACTCTATAATACACATAATAAATAATAATCAGGTAGCCCACTTGTTCACCTCTCCCATATCTAATCTGGGTATGTTGCACATGGACATTTATTGATGGGATCACTGATATTCTTCTAAAATTTGCTATTACTGAACTCTAGCAGTCACTTACGGACACTGTGTCCTAAAGGTCATGACACAATCCTCCTTTGGTTTTACAGGGTGACTATGAGGCTGCTTTGACAATTTATGACAATCATGTGAGTATAAACCATTTCTGGTGTAATGAAAATACATTGTTCAAATGAAATGGTGTGCACATGCCTCGTTTTGTATTTGATGTAAAATATATAAAGGTGTGATACCATTTTCTGGTTTTATTTTGAAATGTTTAATTGGCATTTTAGAGTGACTATTCAACTCAACTGGCAAAATCACAAATGAAGTTACAGAAGTCATCCTAAACCCGTGCCAAAAACCCCTTTATCTCACACCATCATATTTAATGTTGTTTATACCACTTTTTATTTAAATATTTTTAGTGTTTTCCAATTATTTTTATTGATACCACTTTCATATCCTGTTATCTTTAGTCAGGCTGCCATAGTTGCTATGTAGATGCCTTGGCGGGACAGGGGGAAAAAAAGATAATCTTTGAAAGTTTAACATTATGTAAAATAGTTTTTCTATAAATCTAAGCTGTCATGATTGGTAATTAATCTACGAGATCTGATTTTAATCTAATTACTAGTTAGGCTTCTTCCTTAGTCATGTCTTTTCCTTTCTAGGAGACTTATAAAATTTTTTGCTATCTGAACTTTGGAAGAATCTTTCTAAAATAATCCACAGCAAATTGACCAGGAATCTGTATAACAGATCTCTTCATGCCTGTTTTGGTGTGAAACTTTACAAAAATATCTCGTTCTACCCTAGTGATTGTTGCAAAGTAATAGAGGTACTTATGGTCCATTTGGGGGAGATCAGAGATTGTGGAAAAGGTAGTTTTCACGCATACTATATTTGATTTTATAAATGGAAAAACACCACAGATAAAATAATATGAATATTATTTTTAGATTGCTGTATTTCTGAAAGTTGCAATTTGGGTTGTTAAAAAATAGTTATATCTGGAAGAGTAAGAGGATAAACTTACTTTGACAGTACAAAATTAATTCTATCTTCAGGTTAACTTCCACTTAAATATGGGTAATGCAACATAAGAATGCTTTCTGATTATAGATTGCTCCTGCATGCCTGTCAAACAGAAGTATGTTAGCTGTGCTAGATAACTGCTCCATGCTGTACCGGCTTCAGTTGGAAGGTAAAAGAACTGTTAGTTTCTGCTTCAGTCTACTCATTCTTCTTAAAAGGGTAAGGTAAAAGGCTCGTCCTCCAAAATGCAACAGGTGAAGATTTAGGTAAATATACAGACAGAGTCCGAGCAGTGGGTTATGCTAGAGAAGAGATCTTCAAAGAGATGCTGTTCTTCAGAGGTGAATTTTAAGTATATACTAATGAACATTACCTTTATTTCTCCCTACAGTTTATTATTTTCCTGCAACTACAATATTCCATTCAACCAAATTAATAAAGGTCACATTTTTCTTTTTTTTGGTAAGTTTCACTTCCCTTGTCCCCAGAGATCTAATTTTTTCAACCTAATGTTAAAAGATCAAATGCATAAGCTGTTAAAAAGCCATTAACTTCTCTTTTAGTAAATATCAAGCCAACATTAATGTTTAGTTCTTAATCTTGATATTGATGAAATAAGGAGTCAATGTAGATGTAGTACCAATCATTCCAACAGTTCCATGGGACTATGTAAACAGCCATCCGGCTTTTCTTTAACTTTCTAACGCAAAGATGAAGCGAGAGTTCCAGAAAAAAAATGCTTACCTCCTAAGTTGTTTGTCACAGATCCAATCAAGCACCTCTTTTTGGTCATTCAGGGTACATTTACACAGGGATAAAAAATCCAAGGCTGGCTCAGGACAGCTGACTTGGGCTCGGGCCGCAGGCTGAAAATTGCTGTGTAGACAGTTGGTCTCAGGCTAGAGCCTGAGCTCTGGGACCCAGCGAGGGTGAAGGGTAGACATGTATATGTGTAGACCTGTGCATGTGTAGACATACCCTCACTAGACTGCTGTCAGGATTCCTGGGTGTTTTTAAGCTTCCCTGGGTCTCAATAGGCTGCAGTGGTGTTTCCTCCCTTGGTGTGTCTGGTACATATCCTGGTACTGATTCTCAGTCTGTTATCCTTTCATGGAAATAGAGCTCATCAGCTCACCTGCCTTACTGTAGGGTTACCATATTTCAGGTTCCCCAAAAGAAGATACTGCCGGGGGGGGGCAGGGAAGGGGATACAGTTAAGGGTGCTGGAGGGGGTACCTGTGGTGCGGGCGCTCACTTGAGATGGGGGGCAGTGTCACTCCCTGTCATGGTGACTGGCGCAAGCCCAGGACCCAGTGACTGACAACCATCCAAGTTTGCAGATGACAATAAACTGGGAGGAGTGGTAGATACGCTGGAGGGTAGGGATAGGATACAGGGGGACCTAGACAAATTAGAGGATTGGGCCAAAAGAAATCTGATGAGGTTCAACAAGGACAAGTGCAGAGTCCTGCACTTAGGACGGAAGAATCCCATGCACTGCTACAGACTAGGGACCGAATGGCTAGGCAGCAGTTCTGCAGAAAAGGACCTAGGGGTTACAGGGGACGAGAAGCTGGATATGAGTCAACAGTATGCCCTTGTTGCCAAGAAGGCTAACGGCATTTTGGGCTGTATAAGTAGGGGCATTGCCAGCAGATTGAGGGACGTGATCATTCCCCTCTATTCGACATTGGTGAGGCCTCATCTGGAGTACTGTGTCCAGTTTTGGGCCCTACACTACAAGAAGGATGTGGAAAAATTGGAAAGAGTTCAGCGGAGGGCAACAAAAATGATTATGGGGCTGGAGCACATGACTTGTGAGGAGAGGCTGAGGGAACTGAGATTGTTTAGTCTGCAGAAGAGAAGAATGAGGGGGGATTTGATAGCTGCTTTCAACTACCTGAAACGGGGTTCCAAAGAGGATGGATCTAGACTGTTCTCGGTGGTAGCAGATGACAGAACAAGGAGTAATGGTCTCAAGTTGCAGTGAGGGAGGTTTAGATTGGATATTAGGAAAAGCTTTTTCACTAGGAGGGTGCTGAAGCACTGGAATGGGTTACCTAGGGAGGTGGTGGAATCTCCTTCCTTAGAGGTTTTTAAGGTCAGGCTTGACAAAGCCCTGGCTGGGATGATTTAGTTGGGGATTGGTCCTGCTTTGAGCAGGGGGTTGGACTAGATGACCTCCTGAGGTCCCTTCTAACCCTGATATTCTATGATTCTGTGATCAATCAGCACTTTCCTGCAGGACCCTCTCCCCAGGGCTGGGAACCGGGGTCTGGGTGGGCAGGATCCAGAAGCTGTGGCTGCAGGGGAATGGTCCAATCAGCTGAGGATACAGGGGAGGGACCAATCTGGAAGCGGACCAATCAGGGCGCTTTCTGAGCTGCAATATCTGCTCTGCAAAAATCCCAGACATTTCCTGTTATTTGAAAAATCTGCCCAGACAGAAGACAGAGTCTCAAAATAGAGGCAATGTCCAGAATAACCTGGACATATGGTAACCCTATGCCTTAGTCCCCAGGACCAGTGCTGACCCCCTTTTCCCTCTGGTATCCCAACAACCTACACACACCCAGTCCCAGAATCCCACCAAAGATAAGAGCCCTCTGGCTTACAGTTTAACTCTCTCAGGGTCAGGGCCTATAATGGTTGTAAAGCATGTAACACATACAGACCTTTGCATAGGTTGCTAACACATTAAGAGTCTTTGTTTCATAGCATGAGAAATACACAGATCTGCTCATAGTAAATCCTACTTGCCCTTCCCTGCCCCATCAGGCTTCTGGGTTGCTGCTCCTCATGGAGTCTTTCAGCCCAGCTTGCCTTCTGTGTTCTTGGTTGCTCCATGCCCTTCCTCTCTTACTACCCAACACCGCCTGATACAGTGTGTCTCACAGCAAGCATTCCCTATTTATATGCCACCTTTCCAACACCTGGCTTTCTTTGTTCTGCTTTTTGGCAAATTTCCGGTGCTCCAATCTCCCCCACCCCCAAGAAAGAAATATCTTTTCCCACCTTGTGCAAACTACCTAGGCATATCTATTGCCTGCTCAAAGCACCTCAGTTAACATTAAGTATTTCCCATTGTCCTGGGTCTGGGGAAGACATAACACAACTCTGCCCGCTCATGGTGGATACACATACAGAGGTTTTCCTTGATACAGCAATTAATGATACAACTTCATAATATCAACCAGAATTCATAAGACAGACTGTCCCCACATCATCACAGTTGTAAATAATAATTTTCACAGAGCTCTGCTGCAGCTAGTCATGGTGCACTCATCTGCCATCTGCTTTAGTAAGAATATGCCCCACGCAGATCCAGAATAATGACTTTGGGCATTATCTTCCCTCATCTGTGTTCAGGAGGACGTCATTTATCCCAGTGGCGGATTAGCCACTGGGCCACTGTGCCCAGGGGCCCTGGCAAATTGTGAGGCCCCCGGAAAAATGGGTGCTGCCCTGACCCACTCCGCCTGCCCGGCACTACTGCTGTGGAGCGGGGTTGGGGCGCGGGGGCTTGCCCTACTCTCCCCACCTGCCTGGCGCTTCTGCCGAGGAGCGGGGGGAAGCCCCTGCATCCCGACCCCGCTCCCCGGCTGGAGCGCCGGGCAGGTAGAGCGGGACAAGCCTCCACGCCCTGACCCTGTTCCCCAGCAGCAGCACCGGGTGGGCGGGAGAAGCCCCCGCATCCTGACCCAGCTCCCCACAGGAGCGCTGGGGGTGGGAGCAGGAGGACTGTAGGCAGAAGGGGTGGGGAGGGGCCCCCACTTTCTCTGGCCCAGGGCCCTACAAACCCATAATCCGCCTCTGATTTATCTTATTATTAGGCCTGATCCCTATCTAATGGGATCCAGGATATCAGTTACAGATGGTATATTTGGAGATACTCAATAAAGAGATTTGACACAGGTCCAGAGGTGGTTCCTTAAACTAGTAACACTGGTCTACAATTTTTGAGAAGTCGTCTGCTTCAGAGATAAAATGTGCTATTTATTATATATTTTGATGTGCTGAATTCAAATATGACAATTAAAACAACTGATTGGCTACTGTTTCTAAGATATTTAAGTTTTTACATTTTATGTCTATGTATATTGTGTAGATAGTAGAGTTTTAATCATAAATTGTAAACCTAGGTCTTTTCATGTGTTTATGGTTGCTTTACATGATAATATTTCACCTGTCCTGTTTATGTAACTCTTTAAAAATCAGCAAAAGGGTTATATAAATAAAATGTATTATGAAACAAAAGGCAAAAAACTATTATGTATATAGTTTAGTCCTATTCAGTGTCTACTCGACGCTTCTTGACTTGTCTCTTGTATTCATTAAATGGAGCATCTCTTGTCACTGTCCAGCAATAGTCTGCAAGCATTGATGGGCACCATTTGCCCTGATAGCGTTTCTCCATTGTTGCAATGTCCTGGTGAAATCGCTCGCCGTGCTCGTCGCTCATTGCTCCGCAGTTCAGTGGAAAAAAATCTAGATGAGAGTGCAAAAAATGTATCTTTAGTAACATGTTGCAACCAAGGCTTTTGTATGCCTTGAGGAGGTTTTCCACCAACAACCTGTAGTTGTCTGCCTTGTTGTTTCCGAGAAAATTTATTGCCACCAACTGGAAGGCTTTCCATGCCGTCTTTTCCTTGCCACACAGTGCATGGTCAAATGCATCATCTCGAAGAAGTTCACGAATCTGAGGACCAACAAAGACACCTTCCTTTATCTTAGCTTCACTTAGCTTTGGAAATTTTCCACGGAGGTACTTGAAAGCTGCTTGTGTTTTGTCAATGGCCTTGACAAAGTTCTTCATCAGACCCAGCTTGATGTGTAAGGGTGGTAACAAAATCTTCCTTGATTCAACAAGTGGTGGATGCTGAACACTTTTCCTCCCAGGCGCCAATGACTGTCGGAGTGGCCAATCTTTCTTGATGTAGTGGGAATCTCTTGCACGACTATCCCATTCGCAGAGAAAACAGCAGTACTTTGTGTATCCAGTCTGCAGACCAAGCAAGAGAGCAACAACCTTCAAATCGCCACAAAGCTGCTACTGATGTTGGTCATAGTTTATGCACCTCAAAAGTTGTTTCATGTTGTCCTAGGTTTCCTTCATATGGACTGCATGACCAACTGGAATTGATGGCAAAACATTGCCATTATGCAGTAAAACAGCTTTAAGACTCGTCTTCGATGAATCAATGAACAGTCTCCACTCATCTGGATCATGAACGATGTTGAGGGCTGCCATCACACCATCGATGTTGTTGCGGGCTATAAGATCACCTTCCATGAAGAAGAATGGGACAAGATCCTTTTGACGGT